ATTATCAAAATCGAGAATGTTATATATACCTACTAGACTGATTTCAGAAATTCTTTCACCGTTGGAACCCTACGTTATCTCTGATGAGTGCTATAGTTTCAAAAAAGTTTTGGACAGGGAAATTACCATGTAACCCAAGGTGTAAATAATAAAGATTCCTATATGCTGCGGAAACTATTGACAATAGAGCAATGTACTACAGTTTTATAGAAGACATCAATGTCTACAAAGACCAAGCCTTGATGGACATAGGCTATAGAGTATTGTCACAAACTTATGAGCAGGACAGCCAAGACCGAAAGTGTCAAGACCAATAAATATTCCTATATGCTGCGGAAACTATTGACAATAGAGCAGTGTACTACAGTTTTATAGAAGAATGTCCAGTACCAGACGAACAAGAACAGTTACAGAGGAAGACTTGGAATCGATCAGCCTTATTCAATTAAGGAAGTAATTGACCAGTTTAGAATATAATTGTATGACCGGTGATTTAATTAAGAATTGGCGACAAATTGATCAAGCTATTTATTGAATTAAGGCCTTGGACAGGAGAGCAAGCGCTAGTCGCGGGACAAACCTATTTCAGGCAGAGCTGAGCTGTCATTTGTCAAAGACCTTCAGGCCATCGACAAGATACGAAAAAAATGACCAGTGAACCAGTGGCGCTACAACCTAATAGGTCTGGGCCCTCAGATTTCTGTTTCGGGATCCGAAATCCGAATAGGCAAGTGGGAGATCAGCCTATGGGGTAGGAGAATTATATAATTGGCCCCAAGGCCTCAGTGGTTAAGGTCGGTTGAAGGTTGTGGCGACACGTGGACGAAGGAAGATGTTCTCCAACCTAAAGGTTCCAACTAATCAAACCAGTGGTTTGAAACCACTGACTGGAATGTCGAGATGTATACGTATATATGCCCAACTGGAAATACTTCGATAGCGCGTTTTAAGTTGTGACGTCATCGCAGTGATTTGTAAGCGTAGATTATAAGTACAAGCCTTCTGATAATGCCGGTACGATGTTTTCCTACGAGGTAGTGTTAGAAAAGTCCATTGGTGCCGGACGGACATTCTAATTACTATTGCTAATAAATATTTTTTTAACAGAAAGGGGTAGCGAGAGAGTCTCACAGCCGCACCTCCGGGCCCCCCTAGGTGCGGCTTTAAACCCCCCCCCTCAAGGTACATGCCTACCTTAGACCATAGTTTATTTACCCAATTTAGAAATAGAAAGGTCTGATTTACAGTAATAGTACTTCCTCGTTCGTGTCTAATGCTTTTGCGTGTGAACGAGCGATGACCAACGGGAGGTAGTGATGTGCGAAAAGTTATCGATAAATTAGCCCTATGTAGGTTTATATATAATACACAAAATATATCCTCTCTTTTTTAAAAAGAACATTCCTTCCTCCAAACGTGGCTACAATCACTGCGATGACGTCATACCTTAAAACGCGCTATCGAAGTATTTCCCGCTGGGCATATACATCTCGATGTTCCAGTCAGTGGTCAAACTGGTTGGACCCTTTAGGTTGTAGGAATTGGGTATGTCAATACTACGAAGAACGACTGGCGTTGCGTAGAGAAGTGTTCTGTCTGCATCTTCCACCGAATTAGTGATGGTTAGGACAAACGAAATTGAAGTGTTTGTATGTCCCATCTCATTTCATAAAATGAGTTAATACATTGTACCACTTCATTTGAGGAGTCTGTTCTGTACTGATAGTCCCTTTATGACGAACCCACTGTTTCCATGGCGAAGGTCTTTCAACCATAAAAAAGGGTGCGTGTACTTATGTACGCGCGTAAGAAGTTATACTTCTTTGGTATTATTCAAAATAGTTTTTGATTGCATGCAAATAATTAATTACAATTAAATAATCAAGACTGGAAAAGGAGTAATTATAGTCTTTGGTATTATTCAAAATAGTTTTTGATTGCATGCAAATAATTAATTACAATTAAATAATCAAGACTGGAAAAGGAGTAATTATAGTCAATAAAGTTCAGTTTACATTAGAAAAATTAAATAAATAAATATTTATTATTATTCTCTTACATTAAGTGTAACATAAATTCTATTATTATGTTGTTATTGAAAATGTTGTTTTTAAATTATGTCCAATGCCGTAGCATCTTCCATGGGCAACTTCATTCTGTTAATTTTGTGTCACGGTGCGCGCGCATCGTAAAATTTCACTCTCATCAATTTTTCATAACGCACCTAAAGAAGTATAACTTCAAAAATAAATAAAAGTTATTTATGCAAACAAAAACCAACTACAATAATATGTCACAGTGAACAGTCACTGTCACTCATTCAATAATATCGATTTAATCAGTTGCTCATCAGACACGACTTTTAATAATTATTATCATTGTCCTACATGGGATGGGAGAATAAGACAAAACAATTCATCTCAACCGTTCACTCATTCATGACATACGACTCACCGCCTCAATCACATTCAGCGCCTAGCCCGCGTTTGAAATACCTCAACGAGTTTGAAGCGGTACAAAATGTGTATTAGAGGTGATGCGACATTTGACAATGTGACATGTGAGCCTCCTGCCCGTTTGCCCTGTTATGTCAAAAAATACTTCATATGTACGAATACGAATGAAGATATAGGTTTATGATGATATTGTTTCCTTCCTAAAACTAATTCTTATGCAAAATTCACAATTTATCGATATTTTATCCCATCACTAATAACAGTAACGTCCATTCGTTATTGTTTCAATAATAACGGAATTTTTTATCTTTTACCGTAAGCTATCAGATATTGCTGACTTAGGCTATGTTCACAGGTAACGCGCGTCAACGCGCGATCAAATTTGAAGATAGTTCAGATGATGAGCGCTAATGCGCGTTGCGAGAGTACTCGTCAGTCTAGTTCGGTAGAACGTAGAAAATGGACGTAGAAGAGGCTATTATTTTGTGGTTATATTATAAAGAAAAATATAGAAAAAGAAAACGTACACATTGGGTTCATCCAATTTTGAAAAATAGACCCAGTTTGTTATAAATATAATTACGAAAATTAACAAAATTACATGCGATCGCGACGAAAGCGCGCGCTCAACTGAACAGCATACGGACATTACATTAATATCAAAGCGCGCGTCAACGCGCGATCACCTGTGTCTAGAGACTTTTTCTCTGAGCGCCGCGTTGACGCGCGTTAACGCGCGCTCATGTGAACAGTTGTCTGAAAATACCACAATATCTAGTCGCGCGATTTGAAAACGCGCGTCAAGTTTTTGCCATCTGAACATAGCCTTATCAAAGCATTTACGCTGAGTTGTACTGCCGTATGCCAAAAACCGCAGACCAAAGAGGCAAAGGCCGATCACCTACTTGCCTCATAAAACAGATACATAGGTTCAGGCCTTAAAGGTTATAGCGAGAATATCGTTATGCCTGCATAAGACCCAATCAGTCAAAGGCTAATCACCTACTTGCCTCATGAAACAGATGCATAAGAAAAGATCGGAATTTTGGAATTGGAATTTTTAAAAGCACTCGCGAGCCCTCTAGTGTAAAGTGTCCATGTAAATATAAATTTGGTGTTCTATACGGTCCCATTTTATATACCTGTGCCTGGTGCAAATGATAGACCAGAAAGTTCTTCCTTTCAAGTGCAATAATCCAAAAATGTTTTCTCAATTACTTTTAGTCTATGAAAAAATTGTTATCTGTGGTAAACCGTAAAATGACAATGACAAATAAGAATTACTGAAAGTAATTGCCGTGGTATTTGCTGCACAGGGGTGTGCTTACTCCCTTCTAGGGGGGCGTTTTTATAGCCTTTGATTTGAGGCTGCTGTGTGACATGACAGGGCCCCCACTCGCTTATGAATGTATAGGAATATTAATATTAGGAATTTTATTTTATTTCTTAACAAAATATGTGTATAACCTAAACATAGTCTTGTCAGTCACGTAACACAAAACAGTCATAGGTTAGTCGTGGTAACACGCCAATGAATAATAATCTAATAAATGTCTTCGCCAGTCTAATCCTCATATTACCTTGGAGTAATTTCGGCGGAGACTTTGAATATAATATGTAAGAATTGATACGTAATAAACGTGAGCGACGCCATCTTGTCTAAAGAAGAATTTTGGCGGATTCTTCGAATTGTGAATCGATAAAATAGATCACTAATAAATCTGATTTTTTTTATAATCTTATCAAATAACTCATTTTAGATTAATATTATTTTAAAGCGTGATTTCTTCCTCTCTTCAATTGGCACCCCACGTCTGAGCGTCGTGGTCAGCAAGGAAGCATCTGGAGCGGACAATCTGTTTCCACCGGTTTCTGTCCAGCGCCTCTCTTATAACAGTGTATAGTTTTGAGGACGATGAGTCTTCCACTTGGTTGGTGAACAGTCACGTGATATTTTGCCTTCTGTTACCAACCACGATCAGTTTCTCCAAGTTCTCATAGCCTCTGCGCATTGTATCGCCGAAATAGTATATGATAGACAGGCGAGTCCGTATGCGGATTTGGGTAATTTCTATAGTCTATAGCTAAAACTTTGCTTATCTATGGTACACCGTAAAAATGTACATTGGTCCAATATTTTGGTTTATCTTTCTTTTCAACCTTCTTAATAAGCCCGAGTTGTCGAGAAGTTTAGTAATCTCAACATTCCCGTGACGATGAAGATTGGATTCGTAAGGTCCAGCAATTAGTTTTGTACTGGCTACGACCTCTATATTAAGGTCCCCCAGAAGGACATTTTGAACATATAAACTTTTACTCTGTAACTTCCAATAGGGAATCATATAATGAGTTTTAGTTCCAAGGTTGCGTGCATACAAAAACATCAGGATCTGTATTGCTGTCTGCTAGAGCGTAACACCAAATGTGGTTCTTGTCCGGTGTTATTGCCTTAGGCTAGAGATGCTGGTTCAAAAAAGGCAGTACAAATGTTTTTTCGTTTACATTCCCACCACCCTGATCCCATCCGCAATACCAAAATCGGAGATGTACTGGCTCTCATACTATTATAACACAGAGAGCACAGTCTGCATGATCAAGAATTTAAAATTCAGTTTGTAAGTTAGTGTCTAACACATTAATTTTGTGTAAGTATTAATTTATTGCTTGCTTTTGTTGCTTTTTGTGTTCTTAACAAATAGAGATATATATATATATATATATAGATGTTATATAAGTCTGTTTTGATTACAGCGATCTGCCCGATGAAGAAGATAAAAAATCACCAGTTCTCCTTCTAGGAGTGAATAAAATATCTGACTCCCCATTTGCAAGAAGGCGTCATGACCCACAGACCGGTTCAATACGCTTCTTCAGACCTCCTAAGTCCAAATATACAAGAGGATTAAATGGTGACGAAAGATTGGAGAAGATAAGAAAGGATCTCCTCCTTCATAAACACAAGCCTGACATATACATTCCTAATATAAGACAGACTAAAGACAACTGTCACAGACTCACGTGTATCAGTAGCTGTATCTGTGACGCATCAGATAGAGGCTCTTTCTCCTTTCACAGACCTAGTTCTGAATTCAACGAAATCGAATTCAAATACACAGAGCACATTCCAGAAAATCAACCATCCAGCAGCAAAACATCGTATAATATAACTCCTAAATCGACTGAGCGCAGACACTTTCTACTATCGAATTTAAATGAGCGTTTTCGTAAGACACTCAGCTTGGATTCGCGTAAAATTGATAGACTTGATAGGCCCAAATCTATAGCCACCAGTAATATAGATAAAGAAGGTTTAGTGCATCCAAAAAAGAAGAGGAAATCATTTTTCTCCCTCGATACGTTCTTTGATAAGAAATCGGATACCTCGTCAATAGATGATTTCTGTTCGTCAAAGTACAAAAGATTTGAATTGGAAACTGATGATTCGCCAATACTTAAAAGTGATAGAAAGAACACGAGGTGTAAATTGGAGAAATTAGAAGACCATTTCTATAAGAGTCTGAAACAGAATGTGGTTGATGCTGTACCAGCTGATGCGTATGAAGATGATGTTGAATATATAGAACCTATAAGTAATTTCACAAGTCAGAGCACATTGATTTTTGATAAAAACGATAAATTTGACGCTACATTAGATATAAAAGCGTTCGAAATTGTTGTGCAAGAAACAGATTTGAGTCCAGCGCATCTAGTAGTCAAAGTTATGGATAAGTCGGTAGACTCAATAGGAAGTTGTTCGTTGGACGTCGACGCGAGCACAGATTTCTCAGGTAACGAGAGAGAGATTTTAGTTTAAAGCCTGATTAACTAGTTACTATTTAAATATTTATTGCTTGCGAGAAAGATATATTTAAAATCTTGCTAAATCTTTAGGAATTTTATTTAAATAAATCTTTCTATCAAATCTCAATAAAATTATTTAACCTGTGATACTAGTTAAAGGTTAAACTTATAAAACGTGGACTATATATTCTGAGATCTGAATATATTGCCGTAATAGACAACTTTGATATGTCTCCTAAATGTCAAAATCATATGGAGGCAGACAATGCTATTTCCAAAACTGATTCTTAGGGTGATATTAATAGATTTATAAAAGTCTGACTTGTTGTTGAATATATTTTTGACATATATGAGTTATACTTGCTCTGGCAAATGACACTTGTCCACGTTTTATAGGAATGTTAGTTGTGCTTACGAGTCGTTTTTTAATAGTTACTTTTATACCTTTGTTTTTTAAGGCAGGTTTTTCACCACTATGTGTAATCAGCTTACCGCTGAAGTATTTGCGAACCAATTCAACTTAGGATCGGTCCAGTGAATAGGGGATCAGCCTCGATTTCTGATGCCCTCCACTCTGCAAGTCACGATGAGTTTTTTTTAGAATTTCTTGATCTCTGCGTGTTACATTTCCAAAAAATAATTATAATCTTAAGTAACCCTTAATTAACGACTCTGGTTTGATAGTTATCGTATCGTAGTTACCGATTCGCTGTAATATTATGTATTTATAAAAGGGAGCACGTTCCAAAACCTAAGACTATATAATGACAGTTGACAGATGTTAAAATTTGTTACGTTACGGAACGTGGTCCTTATATTAAATATTTATTGATGTAATTAGTAAATAAAGATTGGTAATAAGACAATTGCGCTAGTAACTTTATTGCACAGCGCACACTACTATCTTCTATAGTCCGTGCGGGGCTATATATTATAGTGACAGCAACACGCATGTGGGATGTCACTTGGACAAATACTTTCGTATATAAATGCTGGGCCTATGCAGAGCGCAAAATTAATAAATTTACATGAAAACTCTTTCAATCAGGCGAGACCCACTAACGCCAACCTAACTTGTATGACAAGGTCACGTGACAAATCGTGAGCCGTGGTAGACTTCCAGTCATCACCTTGATGACTGGAAGTCTACCACGGTCTGCTTCACAAGACAATTTCTTTTGCGAACTAGCGAACTGTGGAATTGACTCCCAGACGTCTACACGGGAGACGACCTCCTTTGCCCTGATGTTCTAAAAAAACGACATTCGCAATGTGTAATGACATTTTTTAAATTTAGCGTTAGTGAGTCACGCCTGTCGACAAGTGATTTTGTCTCGATCCCCTGAACAAAGTGTCAACTGTCGTCTGTCCAATGTCAACAGCGATATGTCGAATTGAGTTGGCGCAATGCGTATGGTCTATGTTTCAAATTTAAGGGTAATTCAGAAACGAGTTAATGCATTGGATTATTATAGCTTAGTTTCGATTCTGAATACCATCAGTTACCAATTTCTTGATGTTTGAGTGTGTTGTAGCTTAGCATGTTTCTATTATATGTTTTAAGTACGTATATATTTATCGCTATAAGTATTGTTATTGCTTTGAAATTAGACAATTTTTAAATCCTCAAAGATTCTGAACATCGGCATATATCTATTTATATATAAACTCTGATTTTTAATTCCGTAGAAATCTGACAGCTATCATTTTTTGACATGTCGGAGATTACAAACCTTTTCGGCCGGGAACATTTTACAATTTCAATACGAGTCTAAACATTTAAGTCTATACATACATTTTATTTGTTAGTGAATGTACCATGTTATTAAGCGATGCTCCTCATTAAAAGTGGTTTTACGGCGAGTGATAATTACGTCCCTTTTTATTACAAACAGTAAAAACGCAGAAGTAAAGATAACATTTTATTTTTTTAATAAGGTTTACTAAACCTGGAATTAGTAGGCAGTGATGCCAGCTAAAGGATAATATAAATAAATAAATTTATTTTCGTGATTTTGAAATATGTATTTGTTATTTTTGTATTAGGTCACTTGAATAAGTAATTATCTAGATTTACCTTTTGTAGGTAAAACATAAAAAATACGTAGCATTTTATTTTTTCTTGCCCTCAAATGGGTAAAATTTGCTCCTTTTTCGGTGGACTTTTTTTAGTAGCAACACCTATGAAATGTCAGAATTCTACGGAAGGAAAAATCAGATTTTAGTCTGTTATTTGGCGCCCATTTAATGGTCTGGAAGCAAGCCTAACTTTTTCGACGATACTCCCTAGTATTGTCTTCTTCTTCATCAACATCTTGTCACGTGATTATTGAATGATAATTTTAAAATTGCTCAATTTATACTTTTCATTGTTGTATGAGTGTTAGTTTAAGCTTTCTTCATATTATTTAATAAATATTTCATTTCTTTTCACGTGTTTTCTTTGTGAATGTGACGCTTTTGTTTTTGAACTTTCTATAGTCCTTTAAATTAGTTTAAATATATTTTTAGTACAATAGATATAAAATATTCTGACATTTAGTATGTCAGTGTCGACTCCCGACTGCACTAATTATTACTTGTTACTACCGCTTTACTGAAGGAAAGCATCGTGAGGAAAAAACAACAATTTTTAGGTCTTGGAGGTGTCCAAGACCTAAAAATTGACGGCGTGGGCAGGCACATAAGGCTGATCACCTACATGCCTGCTTAGGTTTTGTTTTGTCACGTTTTAATGTTTTTGTAATTCTTATACTAGACAGCGATGTCGAAAATATGAATGACATTTCAAACTTCCCTGGTCGACTAGAATACGCTATAATGACATTAACGGGCATATAGATATAGAATCATTTTTAAAGATGGGTCTTTTATGGGCTTGATAAAAATCATGAATTGTCGAATGACCACGAGATGAAAATACTTTTAAAATGGTGTAATATTTTTAGATTTGCCAGTTGACAACCTTATTAGAATAAAAAACATTAAAATTTATTAAGTCATCCAAAAAGTTTTAATTACATGTAAACTTTTTAATAGTCGTTCCATTTTACGGTCTAATCGCGTCAGGTCAATCGCATCTCGTAAATTTACGTAATTTATTTTTAAAAACCATATGTTTCTCTTCAGAACGTGTTGAATTTTCAATTATGGTTCTAATTTAAAGTTGTTTAGCTATATTTTTTTTACATATATAAAGTCTTTATGTCAAAAAACTAACTATTTATACAGTTTGTTTCGCTTTGAAATACCCGGTCAAATCAAAACGGTAACTTGTTCAGCTTACTATAAAAATGTCAAAAATATACAACTTAGCGTTGTTTTACTTTATTTATCTATTGTTTGATTAATATCCCCCAATACCGGCTGCAAACAAAACAATAAAATCTGGGCGTATAAGTGATGCTTAAGTAGGTACTTTTAAAGTAACCACTAAATAACTGTTAATTTTCTTACACGTTCATAAACACCCTTATAAAATATTTAGGAATAACGCAATTGGCGAGTGACAAATAACCTACGCAATAATATTTTTTAATCAACCTCGCTATTAACTAGGTCATATATGTAAAATTTAAATTGCAAAATCCAAACAAAGATTTAAGGCTTGGACAAGTCATTGGTTAACCTTCACTCTGCCCACACGTTTACGCCGACGGTCATTGTCTCGTATCGTGTTAAACGAAACGCACGTTATAAACTAGTATTCTTATGCAGTAAAAGTGTTGCATAAAATAATGCAGGTGCGTGAAACGTGACGACCAACCAGCCTGCGCATGTGACGTTTCGGAATAAAGTTTAAAATTGACGTTTTGACATTTGCAATCGCTTCGTGCGGTTAAAGAAAAAATTACAAAGTTTTGTGAAGTGCTTAAATTTGTGTTGTAATTGTTTTTTGTTAAATTTGCGTGGTAAGTTTTATATCTTTGTTGAAAGGCGCTTTTACCAGCGTTTTTATAATACGTCATCGAAAGCATTCAATGTTTTTTTAACTTTCCAACTAAGATGAGTAAGCATGGTATTCAATTCCAAAGAATAACTTGATTTTAATATTAAGGGTACAATGTATGTCATTATGACGCGAGGCTCAATAATTATTGATGATTAACATGGCCCTACATGCTCTATGACGTCATATAATTGGTAACTAATAAAGCTATAAACAATGGAATTACGTTTTCCTGTAAGTAATCAGATATTCTTTATATTGCATAATACTAGCAAGGGATAAACGTAGCAAGCTTTATTAAGCTTGTGCAATGAAACAAACAAAATACTCATAATATATTACACCTTCTTTTCCTGTAATCATTCACACATACTTCCATATCAAGATGTACATTATATACATAGAATTTAATTACATATAGAACATTGAAAATACTATCATACAAATGCTTTGATTCCATGCTTCAATTATCTATATTCCAAACCATGGCATAAATGGTTCCCGTTAGAGATTTTTTTGTTGTTTTATATGTATTTTCAGAATCTTATTATATGTTTAGGACAAGGTATAATAAAAACAGTAAATTTATTTACAACTGGCAAATCTGTTACAAGTTGTGCTATATTGAACTCATATTATTAGCCGTAAACACAAACGGAATGTGATTGAAAACACATTTTACGATATTCACAAAAATAAATATTAAGAAAAATAAAGAATAGCTTATAGTATTGGCATAACTATCCCAGATTCTCCCTATGTGTTTTATTAAGCTATTAGTCACAATATTGGTTTCAGTATCTATACTTTATTGTGTCACTTAGCACTAGACGGACTCTGTTTACTCTTGTTAAAGCTTCAGTAAAATTAAGACTTCAGCCTAAAGTAAACAATTATTGTTTTTTGTATATAAACAAGTTATGAGAATTCAATATGTAGTTTTTGATATGTGCCTAACCATGCATTTTTGAAGGGATGTGTAACCTATACCAACCAACATAAGTAATATGTTGTAATTTCAGGTGACTGGTATTTGGTTAATTTATTTTAATTTTTCAACTATTTTAACTAATTGTTGGTATAGTACACAGAATATTGTTTCATCATCCAAGAGTGATATCTTTTACTCTACCTTGTCAAAGATATACTCGAACAAGTTTATTCTAAACTGATACCTTTGAAGTAAAACATATAACCTCCAAAGAAATGAAGGTTTCCATTTCATACAAACGAAATTGAAACTGCCTGATAAAATAAAATACCTGTTTAATTCTACATAAAATGTCATATAAACAAGTAGTTTAGATTTGATTAGGTAGAACAATATGTAGTTATATCTATATATAGTTATATATATATATAGTTATAACCTACTTCCATGAAGAAATATAAATGCAAAAATAATTATTGTTATTGGACTATCTTCTCCATATTTTTTTAAAGATTAAATATTATGTATCTATACCAAGTTATGAGATTTTAGTATTTTTTAAAGAAATAAATTTATCCTGGACTGTTCTCAGAAATGATTTCATTATTAAAATGCTACATTATCCCTGAGTAATGGGCTATACTCATTTGGCCATGTGGGGCCAAGTCAGTCAGTTATAAATGGCTTATATAATCTGCCTTTATAATAAATATTCATCTCATGTATTCGCTAATATAGTCAGTACCATTTTTGGAAATATCAAGGATAGCTTAGACATATTACTTTACACATATAATTTAACTGGTTTTGAATGTAATGTAAGCAAGATCTGACAACAGCGTACAGCAGCATGGTATTTTGGCAAGCTAAGTTATATGTCAACTAATTTTTATAGTATAATTCTCCTCATTTGTTCCTTGAAACATTAATTCGTCTTTACAAAATACACACACTTCAATTTTTATACAGAAATATTTTATTTGTTATTCCAAAGACCTCTTATAGAGTATAGGCCTCCTCCAATCAACTTAATATTATTTTGAGCATTTTTGTCCCAGATAGAAAAAATTTCATAATAAAATATTCAAAATATAATAAAATAAGTTGTGTACCCAAAGTTTTTTCGGGAAACACTACCTATGAGTGAATTTGTATCATAGTTGAGGTTCTCACAATCATACAAACAGATAGCCAGAGACCATTAATTTTATAGTATGTTTTATTATACACACAATGGACCCTATTGAGAGTCTAAGTATGGGGACTGAGTCCACAAACCAATGTTACATTATAATTCGATGGATTGAGTGCATTGTCAGTGATTTCATATTTGTTAAAGAAGTTGCTAGATGCTCTTTTGTTTTCTGCACTACATTTTTTGGACGGGTTTAATGAGCAGGATGCTCATCTGATAATATTAAGTATAGCTATGGGCACTGAAGCTGCCAGGCTTCAGGCTTGTAAGTTGCCGACCTTTTAAGAATTGGTATGCTTTTCTTGAAACTTGAAATACTTCCATGGGAAGTTAGTTCCACATATTGGTGGAACGACGGACGTCGAGCTACTGAACTTAATTTGTCACTTATAGAAAGTATTATCCTTAAAAGGCCGGCAACACACTCGCGTGCCCTTAGGCATTGTGAGTATCCATGGGCGCTGGTATCACTTAACATGAGGTGAGCCTCCTGCCAGTTTGACCCCTGTTCTATAAAAGTCATCTCTGACAACCTTTGAGTTACATCATTAGTAGCTCAGTGGTACCAGCATTTATCGGTATACCAAATGTTAGCTAGTAGTTTGAAAATAGGGAAATACTTTTAAGACTGATAAAATTTTTGTGTCGTTTTTAGTCAAATTTGTCGAATCACGGCTTTACCTTAAAACAGCTCAAAAAAAATCTATCGTTCTTTACGACTTGTATGTAGTACCCCAACTAATATTATGGAGGCGCATGACCCCTTGAAAAATTAAAAACTGATAATATTACATGCATGATATAAATTATTGGCTCAGTTCCCAGTGTGTTATATTAGATTAGGTTAAAGCAAAAAATGCGTACCTTCTTTCCTTCATTTAACAAATCATGATGATAAATAGGGCTAAAGAGCATGCACCACCACATTACTGGATGGTACACCATTGCAGAGTGATGAAAATATGTAGAAAAAAAATTGGAGCTGTTTTAAAGTGGAGCCTTGATTCGACAAAATTACCCAATTTTATTATTGACAATAGATTATCCTAGTGGTTTATTGAATTTTTGTAATAATTGACGTTTTTATCAGGCTTTGATAAGATTGTGTTAATTGTGTGTAAGTGAACATGTGTGACTATTATTTAATATTTTCATGTAAGTTTTTAAAAATGCATGTTGTTTGCTACCTTATAGGGAATGCAATCCCGATCTCGCGAGATCTCGTGACATTTTTCGAGATGAATCCCGTAGGGAAACAACGAGATTAAGTGGCTGTAGTATCAGAAAGACACTCTGAAAGTAGCTTAAAGTTCTTCACGTGTTTCTGCTAGATTAGATAGATTAGACTCGCGCATAGGTCTCTGCAGCCTTGCGATTCTGCAACTCACTTTTCGAACTCACACAGCGGTTTTCGCAGCGGCGGTCGCGCTCAAATCAGTCGTAAAGCAGTTATTTTACGATTTGGCATTCTGATAAACAATAAACTACAGGCTCCCTCCTTATCAGAATGCCAAATCATGAAATGACTGCTTCACGACTGATTTGAGCGCGACCGCCGCTGTGTGAGTTCGAAAAGTGAGTTACAGAATCGCAAGGCAGTTCTGAAATTCACTTCCCGTCCCCATTTGCTTAGCTCCTTCTCTATCTTCCTTTAAATCTATACTGTACAAACATTACCTGTCCACAATCTTGTCCTGATCACTGTTTAGACTCCATGTAACGTCCCTCGATTAAACGACAAAAGCGTCGAAATCAATCGGCTTTGGTTGATTTAGCTAATCGTCCATACAATGACACACTCTACATAGCATAGACCCCACTCTCAATAACGACAATTAAATATCAAAAAGTACTTTTTAAGTTGCCAAAATTAGTTATTGATGATTAGCCTTTATTGCTGACACCCATACAATTATTTAAGTTACATAAAAAAACACTTAACTCTAACACATAAATAAAATAAAACTTAATCTAATGCATCATATGACCCGTTTTTGGTAATCAGCGTGTCCTGTGACACGTAGGCCTCTTCCAGCTGTTTCCATTCTTTTCTGTTATTAGCTTTTCTTGTCCAAGTTGTGCCTCCTATTATCTTAATATCGTCTGCCCATCTCTTGGTCGGTCTTCCTCTTTTCCTTTTTCCATCACGTGGTTGCCATTCTGTAATTATTTTTGTCCATTTCAACCTGCTATCTCTCGTCATGTGCCCAGTCCAGCGCCATTTCAACTGCCTTATTTTCTTTATAATGTCTTCTACTTTGGTCGTTGATCTGATCTCTTCTGCTCTTTTTCGATGTCTCAGTGTTACACCCACCATGCTTCTTTCCATTCCTCTTTGGCATGTTCTCAACTTTAGAAGATGTTTCTGAGATAAAGCCCAAGTCTCGCAGCCGTATGTAACACATGGTAGGATACATACATTGAACACCTTTTTCTTAGCTACTATTGGGAAGTCTTTACTTTTAAGTACTTCCTTGAGTGACCAAAATCTCTTCCAGGCGCTAGACACTCTTCTTTCTATCTCAAGATCCATTTGGTCATGAAATGATATTATTTGCCCTAAATATACGTAGTGGTCTACATATTCGATAGCATCTCCTCCTATTTGTATCATAATAGTTTCTATTTGTCATTATTTTCGTTTTAGATTTGTTCATAGAAAGCCCAACTATCTTGCTTGCTTCTGTCAGCTGTTGCAGCATAGTTTGAAGCGTCTTTGCGTTATCTGAAATGATCACTAAATCGTCTGCGAATCTTAGGTGGTTCAGTTGTCTGCCGTTTATGTTTATGCCGACCTTATCCCATTCCAAATTTCTAAATAAACTCTCCAAAATGGCTGAGAAGAGTTTTGGGGACAAAGGATCGCCCTGTCTCACACCCCTGGCTATAGGAAATTCTTCACCCGTTGTCTCTAGTTTGATATAAGCCGTGCTACTTGTATATATATTTCTAAATTAAATTAGTTATTAAAATTAGTTTTTAAATTAGTTATTAAAATTAAAACTGCGGAACTCTGTACGTTCTTTTGTCGCTTTATTGTCCTATCCCGTAATAAACTCAACTAACTCAACTGTCGGCATCATACGACATACATACATTTTTATGTCATTACTAACACTAGTCTGATATAAACTTTTTCTTCTTCTTATACAGATTTTTCTTCTTTCTATTTAACAACAACTCTTTGTAACGTGAAAATATGCACGGTCCCTTGAGTGTCGTTTTATAGAGTTTACACTGTATTTTAATTGCTTTCTTTTATTACATTAGTTTTGTCTAAATGAGTATATGTCTTATGTATTTTTGCACTCTCCCGACCTTATCTAATTTAAGTTTTTGCTCACAGTGGTTGCCTGGAAGAGATCGCTCGAAAGCGATAAGGCCAGCCCGTTGCCCTTCTATTGCAAATCAAAACTTCGTTGCATAAAGAAATATAACACAATTGATACAATTAAATGATGCATTCCCTAGCCTGATACACGAGGTGGTATCAGTCTCTTTATGGATGGTGTGAGTCAAGCCACAGATACACCTACTACTACTTTGGGCAAGGGATATATTTCCACCTTGTATATGATATAGTATCGTATTATATCGGTTATCAATAAATTAAAGAAGTTAAACTAAATTTAGGTTTAACACCGAAATTCATATATCAATTATTATGACAGCTTCACGACAAATTATTAGACATTTCAGTAAAATCTCTAACTTCTAAGTGAAGTAATTACGACCTCAGTGAACTCTTCTCACGTACTGTTTCTTCTCTTTTTTCACTATTTTTTCAAATATAGATTTTTTTTTCAGATACCACATCGGGAAGTCTGAACATCCTTACACCATCATCAACCACAAGCCGTATTAAAGAATTCACGTCGCGAATACAAGAGAGAGCTGGTACTTTACAACCGAACCTAACTCCCACACCATTTACACCACCCAGAACCCCAGAAAGACCAGACCTTCTTAAACCCCCAAAAATCCTGATTGATACCTCGAGTCACAGATCCCGGAACCATCTTAAAAAACGTGACGAGCATAAGAAGCCAAGCTACCTGAATCTGGCCTGTTCAGTCAACGGTTACACAAACCTTACGACATATGACTCCAAGATTCGCCAGGATATCAACAAGAGTCGTGAAGCATCACCCATACGGCCAATAACACATTATCGAACTGCTGATCCCCTGCTAGTACCCATTCCAGTAAGTGCGAACAAATTGGTTGTACCAACATTCCCTCATGATACCAATTTGACGTCCAAGGCGCCGAGCAAGGCGCATACAGACCCATACTTAGCCAGCTCATTCATGGCGGCTGAAAATCGTCAGCTCAAGAACGACTTCCTCGGTACAATGACGACAAAATCCTATATTTCATCAGAAAGCAAGAGCTTCTCTTCCATACAGAAGGATGAGGTGGATCAGGTCTTCAAATGCAGTTATTCTGAAACTAATTTCATATCCGGAAAGGAGTTTTCGGAGTATACCATAACGTCGAATGAAAAGCAAGTCGAGATCACCAAGGAGAATGGGGAGAAACTCACCAGTCCAATGAAAAGTTTCATCCAACAGAGGGTGGAGAGACTGTACGGACCTGGTGCGTTGGCTCAAGGATTCTTTCAACGGCATAAAAGCGAAGACATCTTGACTGAGAAATCCCTTAACTGCCAAAGCCCTGAGCGAGTCAGATCTACCGAGGAAACCAGCCCCAAAGACCTTCCAGTCTTGAGACATTTGAGACCAGAATTCCGTGCACAACTACCAATATTATCGCCTAGGAAATCTAAAACTGATTCACCGAAGTCTGAAACTAGTGAAGTGAACATTGAAGTAATTGAGAATGGTAAAACAGTGAGTGAAGTGAATGGTGTTAAAAATGAAGAGAAAACTGGTGAGATTGTAAAAGATGCATACTATTTCCTGGATTTGGAGAAGAAAGAGACAGAGAGGCTGATTGCACTCTCGGCTAGGGCTGAAAAGGAATTGGAAAGCTTACAAGTGAGTATAAATATTAAGATAATATAAAGCCCGACAATATTTTGTGTTTATTACTTCATAACAATACAGTTAACAATTAGAACTTCCCAAATTCAAACCTTTCAAACAAATTTCTACAATAGAACAATACTTAATTAAAACAGACATGCAGTTTTAAACCATTAGCAAGTGAACCTAAGGCTTAAAACCTAATATTAAGCTAAACTAAAGAGAAACCGTGTGTACTACGTGTTATGGTGGTACTCTAAATTTTTAAATTAACAGAAGTTTTGACTTGTACATGCCTATGACGCACAATTCATCCTTACTTATCACATAGTCAATTTCTTTTTATGTAATACATGTATCAGAATTAAATCTGATATATTACAGCCCCTTTAAGCAAATAAATAATTAGTCTAATGTAAATCACTGATGTTTTATACTTAATTTAAATTATCTAACTGTCTTATAAACCTAGTCAATTAAACGTTTTTTTAAATTATATTGAGACAAATTTTGATTGTGTTATAACCAATATTTTTCAACTGTTAAGAGAATTGTATGTACTTTAAACAGTTTATATAATAATATTTCAGAACCAAGAAAACATAAGCGAGGAAGTGCTGGGTCTACTCCGAGCTGCCTCAGGGAAAGCAAGGCTTCTGGCCACACAGAAAATGCAGCAGTTTCAAGGTAAGTGAGGATTTTTACATTTAACTTGGTTCAGAGAAGATTTAACCACACCTTGGTTGCATAGTTCTGTTGTTTATTTTCTAGTGTCAAAAAAAATTACTTAATTAAAATTTGAATTGACAACCTCAGTTAAGGCCTTTATAATAACCAAAACTTAGATTAATAACCCCAGTTGGGTAGTAGGCCTATAAACAAAATTTGAAGTCACAACTTCAGTTAGGATGTTTAATAATTTCTGAAATAATTATGAATTTAAAGATTTCTAATATGAATAACCAAAATTTGAATTTACAACCTCAGATGAGTAGTAGGCCTTTTTAAAGATCTCTAATATGAATGATGTTGAACATTTCCAGGTCTCTGCTATAACAATATAAATGAATGTGGAGATGAGCAGTTTCCGACAACATTGGAGGACCTCCAAGGCTTCTGGGACATGGTGTTGCTCCAAGTTAGGAATGTTGATGCATTGTACTCTCATTTGGATAGTTTGAAAGCGAATAATTGGGAGGAGGTGAGGAATTTTTACTTTTGTCACTCTTACTCAAACAGCTAATTAAAGCTTTAAGTTAGCGCCTGGTACTACCGGTGACCCCAGAAGTGGTGCTATCCTCAAAAAGTATGTATTGCAGCACAGCCAGGAAATGCCAGCGTTATACGTCTACCACAGGTTGCTGGACCTGGAACCAAACATTTTAAATTTGCTTTAATCTTCTATTTATTAATTATTGTTATTACTATGTATGTTAAGAATATATATATATATATTTTTATAAAGTAATTACTCCGAAGAACCCCTGGATCAGCCCATGCTCCAAGTAAAATATAAGGCCTGATTTGTTTAATATAACAGGGAGCAAATGGGCAGGAGGCTCATCTGATGTTAAGTGATACCGCCCATGGAAAATGCCAGAAAACCACGGCGATTAAAAAGAGTGGTGGAGAGATTATTGCCAGTTCTTCTCTTCCGTTCTACGCCCTTGATATGAGAACTGGCACTAAATGTTAAGTTAGAAGCATTTCATATCCATTTTTTTTTTGACGTTCATAAGTGTACATTGTGTTACCTATATTATTAAATGATTTTTGACTTTACTTTACAGATATGTCGATAAGACTTAGTTTCTGAGAAATTTGTGAACATACACTTAATTTATTTGGTAAATTCAGATTGCACCAGCACCATCCAAACTCCCAACTACGCCGGTCCGGGTTAAGGTGGCTCGCTCTCCGCAAGTGAAGAATGAGAAGGCGCGTCTGGCGGCCGAGAAGAGAGAGGTTGACAGGAAAGCGATGCTGGAACATAGGAGGTATGTTTTGATCAAATAATTAAAATGTCTTAATTCATTTCATTTATTAAACAACAGATGGCGTTGTGCATGTTTAAAACGCGATAACATAACGACGTTATATATTTTAGCTAGTAGCATCGGCCAATGTTTTTGTTATATTACATAGTAGCAAACTATTCAAGGGAAACGGTAGGAGAACACCAGTCATGGGCACCACCACGCTTTTTTGGTGGTTATGCCATTAAATTGTAGCTTTGTACTGTCAACACAGCGCCATCTGTTAGAATTGTGACTGTCAAGTGTCAAATAATAAAGATATAATTTGAAATAAAATAAAATTTCGGGTATCAATTAAGATGTAAGCTATCTTTTAAGTTAGATCAAACTGCACACGGTGTGCAAATTTGATTGAAATCGGTGAAATAGTTTTGGGAGTCCATAGCGGACAAACAACCTGACGCGTAATTTATATATATTTAGATATTAAATAATGAATATATTAATAATTTTACAACAATATAATTATTAATATTTCAGATTTTTCAATTTACCAAAACGCCTAGTCTAAAATGCAATTTACATGGACTTTGGTATAGATTCTTATTTACTGAGCCAATTTCGATGTCATTTAGGGACTAATTTTGGATTTATGTGGTATTCCTTAATGTCTGCAATGTTAGTAGCACGCAAGTGGCTTCAGCGTGCGACTCTCGTCCCTGAGTCGTAGAACTCCGGCTGTGCGCATTTAACACTCGCTCGTACGAAGGGAATCGTCGTGAGAAAACCGGCTTGCCTTAGACCTAACACGACGGCGTGTGACACAGTAGGCTGATCGCCTACATACATCGCCTATTGGATAAATCATAAAATAAAGACAGAAATCTGAGGCTCAGACCTAAAGTGGTTTGTTTATTTTACGTGTTATTCCAGGCGCCTGGCACGCGAGCGTCAGCTAGCAGCTCGGGTTTCGTCTCCCGGACAAAGTAACGAAACGGATCATTCTATGTCCGTTGAAGGAAGTCAGGTAATTTTATTTTAGATAAAATACTATTTCCAAATAGTTTAAAACCTAAATATTAAATTCAATTACCCGCAAAAATATCTAGGGGAGCGTTCAAGTATTACGTCACGCAATTTTTGGAGATTATTGACACACAAACCCCCCCCCCCCCACACCATGTAACGCGCCGTAAAGTTTTTCTGTACCCAAGCCAAGTATAGTAAAACGTTTCGTGGCCACCTAGTGACTCTTTATAACTAAAAGTTACCATTATGTGGTGTAAAGTACTGGAAAGTCGAAAAAAATATTAACTAACGCGTAATTCAATCCCCGCCCCGCATCGTAACGTTTTACAAAAGGACCCCTCCCCCCCAAAATTCGTTACGTAATACTTGAACGCTCCCTAGGCAAGGTGGCGTCGCACTGTGACGTACCATGCTTGTAAATATGCAATTTTTTGTTTAGTCTTCAGTTTTGATTGTCATTCTTAAATTACACATAATTATTGTGGTATGAAAATCGATATTTTTAATTTAGATACATTAATTTGTCTCTGTCATCAGACGTATATCAGATTAAAAATTAAATCATTATATTTGCATAGAGTACCCGCAATCTGTGATGTCAACTCCAACTTCATATACCACTAAATATCGATTTTAAACCCTTAAAGTTCTTATTGCACGCTCGGTTTAAGAGGTAATTTCAATCATGCATATAATATACATTCAAAATATGTCTTCACTGTCCGCAACGTAGTGAATCTCAAATTTCTCTTATTAAAGTTGCTTAATTTTTTTTTAGGAAGTGGAAATATTTGTCGGCAAAAGTTCGCCTAAAGTGATACCTCAAGGCGATTGTCCGAGTACGACTCAATCTGACGATTCTGTACGCAGCTGATTGATGGAAGCGTCAAAAATCAGTTGTCACAATTAGGTTGTCAAAAGTCAGTGTCTAATGTCGAAACGTAAACGGTTGTCGGGAGTTGTCAAAAATATTCGTGGTCAAATATTTGTCTATAGATGTTAAAGCGTTAAGTGTTCGTAGGTTTGTCAAAGTTTTTCGTACATAAAGCGGCATGATTTAGTACGCCATTTATCAAAATTATTCTCAACTGTCACACAAAGAGATTGTCAAACTTCAATGTCAACTTTAGAATATCATTTGCAGTTTTTTTACTTTTCAACAAATTTTGATTGTTTTATATATTTGATGAGTTTTCTTGTCATCGCCTTGTCAGTTGCCAGAATAGGCAAAAAGTACAATTTAATATGGATTAATTTCTGTATCAGATATGTTAGTATCTGATGTATTTTCTTTAAATTACGAAGCGTGAAGATCTGTCAGCTGTCATCGCTTTGACATGTAAGATTTGAAGATTAAAGTCTTTCGACGGCTGTCAAGTTCAAAGAAATTAACTGTTAGTCTGATTTAAGTGTCGACTTAAAACAACAAAACCCAAATTCAAACTTAGCCAATCTTAAACTTATTTTAAATCTCAAAGAACTTTTATAGTATATTTATTATTCGCTATATATTTTCAGAGGAAAACTTTGGCAAAATTATGAAATATAGTAAAATTTTAGATTTTAGCAATTTTGTCATATTTCCTTGTAACCAAATATGGTGGCTTTTATCACTTAACTCATCCGATCAACTCAACTCATCATGCCAAAATTCATTAAAATTTGTTGAGTGTATCTTTATATCTACAACGGCCTATATAGCCTTCTCGTATAGAAACGAAAATAGTTTACGTAATATATTTAGACAATAGCACAAAATGCATAATATAAAGAAAAAAATAAGTTTTTCATGAATTTTCATATAGACAGCCCAAATATTTAATTATTTTTAAGTGTATCAAATATCGTATATAGAATTCACCGCTTTAGTCTTGTATATATGCACTTATAATGTCTTCAAATCTGCCAGATATCATGTCTGTAACTGTCAAAATTGTATATGCAATGCGTCTGTTTTTAAATCTGACAGATGTAATCACTGTCAAAATAATTTCTTCTGTTTTCTTTCTTTCTTTCTGTTTATTGTACGATGTTTAAAAAAAATTAATTACAACAATTTGCCGCTTAAATCATGTGTATATTCGATGTAAGCCCATTTTCTAATCTGACATGTCAAAATAAAATCTGTGTAATGAATTTCTGTTTGTGCGCAATTTTTTTTTGACAATATTGCGTTTATATTTAAGATAATATTGAACTGAATAATTTTTGAATAATATTGCGTCATGAATTTATCAATGTTTAAATGCTATCTCAATAAATTATTGTTTATGAGTTGTTCGTTTTATTCAAGGCTCCATACCACGAAGTAAACATGGTGTATTTTTGGGTCTGGGACTCAGATTTCTGTATAATATGTTTCATGATCTAACAGACAAGTAGGTGATCACACGCCGTCGTGTTGGGTCAAAGGGGAGCCGGTTTTCTCACGATGTTTTCCTTCGTACGGGCTAGCGTTAAATGCACACATAGCCGAGGATCGAATCGACGACCTTATAGTCGGGGAGTTAGCGTTGGATTTTAGCTAGTGTCTTGACGACGATTATTTGTGCCATCATTTTCAATAATTGATAATACGAAAACTGTGATGAGCTGCGTGTGCAGTGGTTGTAGTGGCAGAAACACCGTCACCGTCATGCAGTACAGATTATTCAAGCAGTGCGAGGTTTGTAAACAAAATCATTAAATTTTATTAATTTTAGGTAAAATTTAAAACAACGCCATGTAGTAACTAAAACTTGTTGGAGTTGTAATTTCGTTTTTATGATGTTTTTAGAATATTTAAGAATTAAATAGTTATAGCATTATTTGTTTTGTTTTATTATTAAATACCTTATTTTAAATGTAATTATTTCCTAAAAACAGGTCAAAATTACTTTGCAAAACTAACTATTCCGCCGATGATTTAATAGCATGGTCATGCCTATGTTGATTCTAAAACTTTATAAATATAGATAAATTAATTAATTACTACGATGCCAACGCAATATATTTCATTACAGTTCAGTTATATATAGTAATGACTGGCAACACTGTAAGGGAAACAGTTATTTAATTTAGGTCCTGTAAAAAAATATAATTCTTAATAACTTGTTATATATTTCCGTAAAGTTTTTCCATTTTGTTGCTAAATATTCCAATAGTGCTGTGTTAAAATAGGTGTTAAATTAGCGTCTAAAACGCTAATATTGTGATAAAAAGTTAATTGACAGTTAGGTTGAAAAATTCAAATTTTTCTTTCCTTTTACGAAATATCTTACTATTCAACTTGTGAAAAGTGTTTTGTGTTTTATACATATAAAGTAAGTACTACTTTAGGTATTTATATAATAATATTAGTAATAGGTTGTGCCAATAGTCTAAAATCACTACATAGGTACTTAACTTGAATATTTACACTTCTTATTGGAAGCCAAAACAACACCTTTGTAGCATTATGATGACTTTAAATTGCTTAGAATATGAAAGTGCCTTGAAACGCATATCTGATCTTGAAAGGGAATTGTTGAGGCTAAACAACATATCATAAAGCTTGAAGAAGCCTCACATTAAAAGACGGAGACTTTAACACAAGACCTTTTTAAAGACTTAGTTTGCAATAGTTCACTTGGTAACGATTCGATAACGATGCGCCCAAATTTGGGGTTGCTGGGGTGGTGAGGAAGGGGGGGAAGGGTGTAGTAATCACCCCCTTCAAATTTTGCGCGCCGGAAACAAAAATTTTTTTTTTTAAAAATCTCACCTATTTATCTACTCCAACTCGGCTTCTTGGTCGCCGAAGGCGAATATTCATATACTGACCTAGCCTTACCGATCTAAATAATATTAGTTTTTTTGGACAGCTCCGATCTAAATAAATATTGTTTATTCAGCCCTCGGCAACTCGGCTTCTTGGTCGCCTTCGGCGACCAAATATTCATATACTAACCTAACCTAACCGATCTAAATAATATTAGTTTTTTTGGACAGCTCCGATCTAAATAATAATTGTTTTTTCAGCCCTCGGCAACTCGGCTTCTTGGTCGCCTTCGGCGACCAAATATTCATATACTAACCTAACCTAACCGATCTAAATAATATTAGTTTTTTTGGACAGCTCCGATCTAAATAAATATTGTTTATTCAGCCCTCGGCAACTCGGCTTCTTGGTCGCCTTCGGCGACCAAATATTCATATACTAACCTAACCTAACCGATCTAAATAATATTAGTTTTTTTGGACAGCTCCGATCTAAATAATAATTGTTTATTCAGCCCTCGGCAACTCGGCTTCTTGGTCGCCTTCGGCGACTAAATATTCATATACTAACCTAACCTAACCGAACTAAATAATATTTGTTTTTTTGGACAGCTCCGGCGCTACGGGAAATGCAGCCCCTCCACCCTTGCGTACCAAAGCACAGGCAGTTTATTCAAGCCTCCGCAACCTCGGCTTTCTGGTCGCCTTCGGCGACCAGCCTCAGCCGCTACAGCTTTCATAATGCCTGTGCTTTGTTACAGCGGGTGGGGGATGCTCTTCCTCCGCGCCTCCGATTATTTATAAACACTCTAGGGGTAAGGCAGACAAGACCACGTGGATAGTGGGGTGCTCTGATTCGGTTTTGGGTACTTTTTGAATAATTTAAAAATTTTCGGAACCATACATTAATTGAAACATGAAGTTAATGTAATGTATGTACATTTGACAAGTAATGATTAAATTAGGTTCAACTATAAAATTAACAAATGAGAAAATAATCGATCCGATTAATTTACCGAGAATGTCACCTCACTTATAACCAACAGAAAACGAGAATGACACATCTCTTATAACCAATAGAAAAGTAGATAATGGTGGATTGTTTACAAATTTCAATACATTTCACAAAACTTTAAATTTTTTTTAAAAATACTTTGACGCATTTCCGGCAGCTAAAATTACTTGGAGGTGTTCCAATCAAGGTCCCCGAGGACTCCTGCATAATCAGTATCATCAGATTCCAACGCACTATTATCGCACCCAACCCGTTCACTTTCAAAATCTAATTCCTCTACAGCATATAAAAATATTAATGGATGTAGTATAAAAAGAATAAAGAAGTACATTAAAATGCAGCACAATGCTTTGAGTTTGAAAACTCAAGCCAGTCTGTACAGGTGCCATCAGCTGTATGTAGTGTTAATAATAATATTTCAAAGCCAAAATTAAATGTAATGTACTGCGAACAAAATAGGCCATCAAAAGAGCCAATTTTTAAATTGCCGATTCGCTATCATATTTATTGTTTATAACAGCCAAGAATTTGGCTAGACAACCTGCTTCTATTGAGCAGGTTTTAGTAAGACCTTGGAAGATATTCCAAGAAATAGTAATTCTAATATAAATTAGATACTAAGACAACAGAGAGTCTCTCTGGCCTAGAATTAGTAAGATAAGTAAATTTAAGAATAATACTATCAATTTGGCTTACCAAAATATACAAGGCATGAAAAGTAAATTACTAGAAATTGAGTTGTTTCTGAGCAGTGAAAATGTTGACATATTGTGTATTACATAACACTGGTTAAAGACATGTGAACTTATGTTCAATTTTTGTAATCATTAGATTGGTAGTTCGTACTGCAGAAGAAATGCAATACACAGTGGCTCATTAATATTGCTTAGTAAAAAAATAAAATTTAAAGAAAGGAAGGACATAGTGAGCCTCTCGTGGAACGCCTTATTGAAATATCTTGTGTGGAGCTGGACAAATTTATCATTGTTTAAAAAAATTGATTGTTAGTGGAGACTTTAATGTAAATTTGCTTGACAACTGTAGTTCAAGTAAAAAAATGCTTGATCTATTTATATCACATAATTTAATTAATAATTTATTGTGCCTACTAGGGTAACAGCCACCACGGCAACATGTATTGACAATATCTATATAATATAGTTTTTCTCAAAGCGTGTATTATCAACAAACTTACTACTGACCACTTTGGTCAATTGTTTGAATTTCAAATACTTAAATGTAAGACCAAAAAAAGAAAATATGCACAATTCCTATAACAGATAATCTGTTAGACAGATTTAGGAAAAATTTGATATTTAAAATGCCATTATGCGTAGTAACCAATGCCCTAATAATTTATATATAACACATTTTTTGATTCATTTATTGATGAATTCAAAAATGTGTTCACTCCAAAGACTTTTTTGTTCTCAGAGAGGTCTCCAGAGCTACACAAAAAAGGCTAAAATTGTATGAATTGTATGATGAAAAACAGTATAATGACAGTGAAGAATTTAAAACTCATTTTAGGATATTCTCAAAAAGTTTTAGGCAGAATGTAGAATCGCTAAGGCGAAACACTAAAAATAAACAACAGCTCTGATAAGATAAAGGCTACTTGGAAAATTATAAATGAGAAAACTGAAAGAACCACCAGAAAGGATACTGAATATAAGGTGAACATAAACGGCAAAGTAATTAGTTCTGACCTCGAAGTAGCCTCTGCATTTGAAGATTTTTTTACGAACATTCCATATAATACAACCAGCGTTCTAAATTCTTCACCATCAGCCGCCCTTTTATTACTGAAAAAGAATGTTCCTGTATGCAATCATGATTTTATATGTAGCCGCATTAGCTGCAATGATATTTTAAAAACATTTAAACAGCTAATAATAAAAAAATCTAAAGATCTTTGGGGTGTATATGTAGTAATCTATTAATACTATCCGTTCAGAGTTAGCTATAATATTTAATGAATGTATAGATTTTGGAGTCTTTCCAGACCAGAAGCTAAGTAAAATCACACCGTTATTCAAAACGGGCAGCACTTCTGATCCCACATTCTCATAATGCCATTGGAGTTTTTGGCGATTTATCAAAGCGCTAAATGTTATGGAATAATTCCTGAGCGATAGAATTCAAAAGGTAAATGTAAATGGAGCTATATCACAGGGATCCTCTGTTACTATGGGAGTACCGCAAGGCTCCATACTTGGTCCCTACTTATTCCTCGTCTATATAAATGACCTGCCATTTCTTGTAAAGGAGCTTCACGAGATATAACTGTTTGCTGATGACATTTCGCTTTTATTTAAAGTGAAACGACGAAATCCATCACTTGAGAATGTAAACAGTGCCATCTCCAGTGTAGTTCACTGGTTTAATACAAATAATCTTAAGCTAAACGAAAAGTAGACAAAATGTATTAAATTTGTAACTACAAATGTAAAAAGTAGTCATTCTCAAAAGATTCAAAACACCCGTTGGTAGTGTAAGCACGTATTGGTGTATCTCTATATTTTAACTCAAATTATATTACTTACAATGTTAGTGTACTAGTGTTGTATTGCATTTGAATCGCTAATTTTTCCTTAATTATATCCTTCAGACAAGTCAGACAGACAAGACAATTCCAGCAGCGGCTCCTGGCAGCACAGGAAAGGTCTCCATCCCTCGAGCAAACACTACTAACAAGGGAGTTTGAGGCATTCATAAGCTCAATACTGATCTGTCTCAAGAATCTCCAGGCTCATGTGGAAATTCTTTTTAAGGTGCAAGAGGAGCAGGAAATGCGCAGTAGGCGTAAGTGTTTGTTGTTACATGGAATTAATTAAACAAAGGATGAGAACCCAGGGACAATTGCTAACATGTTATCCGTGCTGCTCAAATGCCCTAATATAAGCATAGCCAGTTTTAGTCTGTGTCATAGATTGGGCATAAGACATGATGGTAAGCCTCGCCCAGTACTAATTAAACTACGGGAACATTGTGACAATGACAAGATTTGGTTGGCTAAGTCTGGTTGAAGGGGACCGGTATCACCTTATCCGAGTTTTTGACTAAAACCAGGCATAATTTGTTTACGGCTGCAAGAAGGCGTTTTGGAATCAGCAAGTGTTGGACCAGGATTGGCCACATATTTGTTATAGGGGCTAAAAGATGTTGATACGGCTCCTGCAAGCATTCCACCCTCTACTAACGATTCTAAGGTAACATCCCCCAAGTGAAAATCTCGAACCGGGAAGATCACAAAGAACTAATTACGAGTGGGTTACTTCAACTTCAAATTATGTTCCGTTACTAGCTGCACACTTAGCATAACTTTAAATTTTGTGTAATATAATGCAATTACCAACTTTTGATGTTTAATTTAGTTTTAATAACTTGTGTGGGTAATAATTGTTTGTGATTTTCTTATATGTTTAATTGTGTTTATTTAATTTAGACGCTAATTCATAATTGTTTGATTCATTGACACTGTCGACTGTCACACTGTTTGTCTACTGTCACTTCCACTAACTAGAAAAATTACTGTATATACATATTTACTCATGAATGTGGTCTGTGAAGCCTTCCTTTAAAATGCCCTAAAGTGTGGCCACAGCTGATATCTCTTAGTTAAGTGGTTGTACTAGAGCTGAATTTAGTGTCACGCCGACCGCACGCGCACCGTCGGCGCTGATGGTCGAGATATATGAACTTCTAGAAAGACGCGTAGCTATAAGCGCGCACGGTGGTCAGCGCCGATGGCTGCGCGGCCGTACGCGTCGCGCGTCGGCGCCGCGTAGCTGTCAGCGCTGACGATCGCTAGAGCGCCTCTGCTTTCAGAGAGCGTTGTAGTGTCGAACGGAGCGGACGTCGTCAGCGTGTACAGTCATGGCAAATCGCGAAGTGGATACAGGTCGAGTTATCGACGAGGTACGCCTGAGGAAGAAATTGTAGGATGCATCCGATCCACTCTACAAAAATAAAGATGCAAGAAACAAAGCCTGGGAGGACATTGTCGACACATTGTTTGAAAATATTTTAGGAGAGTCTCCTGCAACGGCTCTCTGCTCAATCAATGGATGAACATGGAGTCTTCGTAGTCGCCGGTTTTTATTTTTTGAGATAGGTAGTACAAAGCAGCAATAACTAATACACTCCGCATTTTGGTCTTCGTCTGTACAGTAAGGCGGTCAGTACGATACTAAAACGAACCACGCTGAGCGTCAGCGCTGACGAACTACGCGCTGATCCATGAGCGCTGACGGTGAGCGTGAGACTAAATTCAGCCTTATTCTTAATATTGTAGATTAAACCTTTCTAGAAAGATATACATATTTCCTTGTTAAACAGTTTTTAGAAATAGTTATAATTAGTCTCTTAAGCTCTTTAAGTTTATATCTAGTCTATATCATCCGTTCACTACTTTTATATCATTGCTAATACCTATTGTTGTACTTATTCGTACATATCAGCTGTTGAGTGCGATCGTAAGAACATCTTTTTTTATATTTAAAGTTTAAGCCTTTATATATTTGGTGTAGCTTTATATTTTCACTTTTTTTAAACTTATTATTTTTTTTGTTTTGTGGTTGTAACTTTTAGATTAGTTTTTTTGTTTGTTATTAAGTGTAAACTTTATTATGTTTACTTGAAACTGGCATAAAGTCAAAACTATTGCCATAATATTTAAAAAAAAAACTTTATTGTAATGGCTGTCAGTGAGGTTAGCTATAAGTCGCCTTCATCGTCAGGTAGTTCTAGTAACGAGGCTAGCTTATTCAATACCTCATTCTATCCTCTGAATGTGCACCTCTTCAACTCCTTTTTAGGCCTATCCAAAAACTTCAATGTCGTCCACATTAATGCTCAAAGTGTTCCGGCGCATTATTCCTATCTGTTTACATCTTTACAATACTGTAATATTCACGCTATTCTTATTTCTGAATCCTGGCTTAAACCTAGTCTTCCTTCTACTTCCTTTCCCATTCCTGGCTTTCATCTTCTACGGAACGACCGTCTGGCTAGAGTTGAAGGTGGTGTTGCTATTTATTTACGTGCCCATATCTCTTATTTTATTCTTAGCAGCTCACCGCAACCCCCACCAAATGATGCAGTTGAGCATTTTTCACTCGAAGTATCTTTTTCGTATTCCAAATTACTCCTTGGAGTGTTTTATAGTTTCTCCCTGAATGTAGACTATTTTTCTGCCCTTGGTCTCCTGTTAGATAATTTTATTAATAACAATAAGCACACCATTTTTATGGGAGATCTTAATACTTGCTTGCTGAGAAATGATCATCGCTCGCGCAAACCAACATCTACCATCGAATCTTATAATTTTAATATAACTTACCTTTGAATCCCACTCATCACTTTCCGGATTCCACCCCTTCGCTTCTGGATCTCATATTCGTTTCTAACCCTAACCTGGTGGTATAAGCATGGTCAAACTCCTGCTGTTGCCTTTTCTTACCACGATCTTATTTTCCTTTCTTATAAACTACGTCCACTTAAAGTGAAACCTGAAATCCTTATGCTACGCAATTTTAGTGGCATAGGTTCTCGTTGTATAATGAGAAAGATGTTCACATGAAAGTCGTGCTTTTTAATTCATTGTTAACGCAACTGTATGATGTTCATGCCCCTTCAAGGCCAGTAAAAGTGAAACATTTAGATTCTCCATGGTTAACTGATGATATAAAATCAATCATGGTAAATAAAAATCGTGCTAAAGCTAAACTGAGATCATGTGATTCTCCTTTGGCGCGTGAGAAATACAAAAAGTGCGGAATCGGTGTAATACTATGTGCCGTGATGCTCAGCGGCGTCATAATATTCATAAGTCAGTTGAATGTGGCGACCCTTCCAAAGTATGGAAATTTCTTAAATCGCTTGGAATCGGAAAACAACAGCAACAGCCACTGTCTGCTCATTTGAATCTTGACCTACTTAATCAACATTTTCTCATCATCCCATTTTTGATCAAAGCATTAAATCTCAAACCATTGCATCTCTTAACTTTTGCCTTTTACGAATATTCCTTCTTTTTAGTTCCAGTCAATTACAGAAGACGAAGTAGGGAGGAGTATCATGACTGTCTCGTCCAAAGGTATTGGTTATTAGCACACATTTTCAACACCTCTGTTTCCTCAGGTGTCTTTCCTAATATCTGGAAATATGCCCATGTCATTCCTACTCCTAAAATCGCTGACCCAGTTGCCTATTCTGATTATCACCCTATTTCCATCCTACCTTTTCTTTCTAAGGTTCTTGAACGTATTCTTCACCAGCAATTAGTTATCTTTCTCAACGAACTCTCCCTTCTTAATTCAGTTCAATCCGGTTTTCGTCCTGGGCACAGTACGGCTACTGCACTCACTAAGATTACAGATAATATTAGGCGTGGCATGGATAATAAAAAACTCACAATACGTACTTTGCTCGATTTTAGTAATGCCTTTAATTCGGTAGACATTGATATTCTTCTTGCCTTGATCCGTAAATAAATAAATAAACTATATAAATATCTCCACTCCTCTTTTTGCTTTTTATAAATTCTATTACTAATCAACTGTCTTCCAACTCTCATGTTTATGCTGATGACGTTCAAATATACAATCAGTCTACTTTTAATGAATTGCCCTCTATTCAGACGGGAAACTTTGATTTAGACAAAGTTGTTGAATGGAGTAAATCGTATGGTCTCAGATAAACCCTTATAAGAGCCAGTCCATTATCATTGGGAGTGCATCATATATAAGGAGTATAAATTGGTCTACTTTACCCCAGATTACTATAGATAGTACTGTTGTTCCATTTTGCTCCACTGTTAGGAACTTGGGCATTACCTTGGATACTACCCTTTCTTGGCAGCCCCAAATTAACGAGCTGTTTACATAGTATTATGTCATATGGTGTTATTTTGTGGGGTAATGCAGCTGACATTAAATCGATAATTGTAGTGCAAAAGCGGGCTATAAGAGCAATCTGTGGGTTGTCCCCACGGGAGTAGGTCCGAAGGAAGTTCAAGGCAATAAGTTTTTTCAACAAAATCCCTAGTCATATACAAGTGTTGTCAATAAATAAATTTAAATCGTACATTAAAGTAAAACTGCTTGCTAAGGCCTATTATAATATAAATGAATAAACGATCGTAGTGCTTGGATATGAGTTGCTCCAGTATAAATAGGTAACGCGACTGAATATCTCGGCTGCATTTCCAGATTCTGGGGCGATCGTCAACATCCACGACTGTTTTAATGTAAAGTGGGAACAAACCGTGATCCATGTGGTATCAAATTATTTCAGTTTTATTATTATTTTCTTATGTAGCCAAGTCCACAGTCCAAATGTCTTTGCTTGTGGCGGCGCCCATGCGTCGGGTTGTCTCTCCCTAAAATATGGCGAGCCATGTTTCACCATGCCTTCTGCTGGTAGAGGACAACTCTTTGTTTTTAATTTATGTTATTATTATTAATTCCTTAAGACGTCATGTGGAACATGGTTTAATAGTGCAGCTCCTTACAAACGTTGTGTAAAAAAAAACATGGCGATTTAAAAGAGTGACGGAGAGTTTATTGACAGTTCTTCTTTTCCGTTCTACGCCCTTGATTTGAGAACTGGCACTTAATGTAAAATTAGAAGCATTAATATGTATTTCTTTAGTGACAAGTCATAAGTGTACAATGTGTTACCTTTATGATTAAATTATTTTTGAATTTTTAGGCTGCGTCCCCAGTAGGCAAACTGTTAGCCGCCGACTGAGTTAGCGGCGTATCGGTTTAGTACGCCCTTCCATATATTTCAAATGGAGTGTTCACAGTTTGCTAGCTTTGCGCTCACTGTACGCAGTTTGCAGCGTTACGCGCGCCGACTATCTTAGTGAGCGGCTGACTCCCACCAAAACCGGTTCCAGTCGGCGGCGGCGATTGGTTGTTGCTTCCTTTTATCCTCTTTCAGCGCTTCTAAGATACCAATTACTTCAAAATATCCATCGTGACCAACACAACCACTCCCTTCGTACAACAAAAGTAAAGTGATAATTCAGTCGGTCGGCTAAATAAGCGGCTAACTCTTAACAGTTTGCTTGCGACGCACGAAAATTGATTTGAGAGCTAACTCAAATTTCAGTTCGCTGCAAATTTGCGGCTTACTCAGTCAGCCGCTAACTGTTTGCCTACTGGGGACGCAGCCTTATACGAAACCACATAATCCTTTTTATAGTACTCCGTTGTGCAGAATTATTTGATAATATTTAACATCAATAGTCAGAATGTAGTCTAGAATAGTTATTCTGTGAAGGTCTTATCCACAGATGACTACAAGTTTCAAATTGTGCCTATGACAGTTGTTAGTTAGATATTTAAAAATATAATTAATTGAAGCTATTTTATAACTTTATTCAAAATTAACTAGTTATGTTTATTAAAAAAACAGCATTTTGTTGATATTTTTGTTACATTAAGTAGGTTTAAACTTTAATTCAAACTAATTGTATGGTGTGTGTCAAAAGAAACGTGGAGAAGCTTTAACTTTGTCTATAGCTTGACAACGAATATCCGATGTCATTTCATTACTGTATAATTATTTTTAAGAATTTACACTATGTATTAAATTATAATTACATTAATCAAAAATATTTCATTATATTATGAAGAATTGGTGGGTAATTTAATTAATTTTTATATAAAAAGTTGTAAGAGTTGTAAACTTGCGTCAGTTGACTTTTCGTGCTTCCTTCCCGCGCATGTCGCGTTTGTAGAAGTTGGTCATGGTCGTTCGCCAAACGGAAAGCCGCCATGATGGCTTTCTGTAAAGTACGCTCAATATGTAAAGTTTCGTTATTGTTTTTCATTAATTGTGACTGAGTGCGTGCAAAAATTAACCATGGGAACGAACTAGATTGTGCAAAGTGTTTTTTAAGGTCCTTTAGGACCTCCTAGAGGAGATGTAAAGTGTGCTAAAACTGCATTTTAGTGTCGACGCTAGCGTGTTTTGTTCTGTCAACAAGATGTCGAAGCTCTCGTTTAGGGCGAGGGCCCTGGATGCGTCGAAACCAATGCCGATATATCTCGCCGAGGAGCTTCCGGATTTACCGGACTACTCGGCGATTAACCGTGCAGTACCTCAAATGCCTTCTGGTATGGAAAAAGAGGAAGAAAGTGTGAGTATTACACGCATTAAGGCTGTTCAGGCATACTCTACTATGTCCGCCATCATGTTTCGGTTTCGTGACTTCACCACTAGAGGCGTATTTAACATCAATTAGATTTTATCGTGTTCCTCCTGGATTGAACATGAAAAGTTATCGAAATCGTCGTAGTAATTAACTCTTTTCCTCAAATTACTTATGCGCTTCAGGACTGTCACAAAATATAGAGTTTGTTGTTGTTTGTTAGTATTTGGCGCGTTTATAACATGTGTGAATTTTTTGTTGGCTGTGGTCACTTGTACCGCTTTGATATTTTATATCTCAGGACTCCTTAGGACTAAAAATATGCAATTTTGACTGAAAAATCATTTAAAATATGAAGAAAATAGGAGATTTTTTTCAAATAAATACGACGCACGGAACAAACGTTTTTGTTTACAAACATTTGCATATGCCAAATAATTTGATTACCTATGTGAACTTCTACTTTCACTATATCATGAATATTTTTCTTAACTTTTATTACCAAATAGAATCAATTGTAGGTATCACTGTTTATTACTTTGATTATTTTAACTATATATAATAATACTTTATTGATATTATCTTATACACTTTTTAATCCAACGTCATTTATTCTACTTCAAGTTAAAAGTAATAGTAGGAAACTATTAGTAATAGAAATTATTTGCTAATAAATTTTGGACTTTTAAGTAGCCAGTGCACGTAAGGGTTAGTTTAACATTTATTTTATTTTATTTAATAAGTGGAAAGATCACAACTCTCACTAAACTAAAGATGATTTAACAGCATACTAGATGAATGATAGAATTATTTCTACCAACTTATTACTTTGTAATTGTATTTTACTTGTCTATTAATACAATGAAAATCTGCCATATTGCTTGGTGTGGTTGGTGAGGTTTGTGGATTCAGTTTCCGCACTTACACTCTCAAAAGGTCCGTTGTGCACGCAAAGAATGGACTTGGTTTGGTTATAAAGAATGGTAATTTGTTAATACTGAGGGTAAAGCAGCGATGATTAGTTTTACAGTTTTTCTTAAATCATGTTTGTTGAGAGGAAATATAAGGTTAATGCTTTCCTGCCCAATATTATTAAATATATACTGCCGCTGTCCCTTAGTGAAAGTCTTTATGGGATATCAAACCCAGGGCTTAGATATGTTTCAGCCGTGGGTTTAATTCCTTGATATTATCAAATAATTTGCCTATACAATGTAGTAACTATGAATTTGAAATGGATGTAAAAATGTATTTTAAATGAAAAGATTTAGCGCAAATGCATACATAAAAAAACATGAATCTTGAACTTGGTGTTGCATTGTTTTTGTCCTTTGAAAATCTCTAGATTGAGAAAATGATATTAAACTTCAGACATTCTATGATATCTTAATGACTCTATTTGGTCAAAGTACTTGAAATTACTCAACCTAAATTGGGAAAAGGTTAGTTTAGACAGCATATATCATAATTTTCTTTCTCAATATCTTATGTTTATCCCAAATCTTCAATGGTTCCATTATTTGTTGATATGTCTTAGTGGTTAATGTGCATAGAATATAAAAGTTCTGGGTTCTTATGGTACAAGGGTTATCACAACTTGCTGTGTCAGTCCTGTGCTAGATGTAACAAATCCACTTCAATACCTGAGTTCTGTTCCTGGTTACAATAACTGTTTCAGTTTCGTCTGCACAGTGACCACATGCTGGCTCTTAATAAACACAATAGGGAATGAGGAAAAAGTTATTGATTGAAATCTATAGTCTCTTGATTCTCCTTGTATAGTTAAATAATAAAGAAATTTGCGCTTATATCTATTAAACAATGAAGATTCTGAAAAATGCATACAGTATCTCCGTTTTATGTTGGTTCATTTATCTGATGAGTGGTTGAATGTGTTAAGAATAAATAAATTAGTGGCGTGAAAACTTTTTTAGGTCAGAGGTCTCAGATTTCTGTATCTATTTGATGATCATTTGTCAATCTAATTGGCGATTAGGTGATCAGCCTTCTGTACCTGACATACGCCGTCGATGTTTTTCGGTCTAAGGCAAGCCAGTGTTAAATGCGCACATACAAAGAAAGTCCGTTGGTTCCGGGAATCGAATCTACGACCTCAGGGATGAGAATCGCACGTTGAAGCCACTAGGCCAACACTGCTCTGATGTGATGTGTTAATCACAGGAACTATTAGATTGTTTTTGTATTTCCTATGTTACAAATATGGACAAAGGCTATATAATATAACTACCAACGATTTTTTTTATATTAAGGCGGATGAAGCCGCGGGACACAGCTGGACAAATGCCTTATATTTAATAAAATTACAACTATAATTTAACATTGTCCGAAGTGAGATTGAGGGTGAACTGTATGGGGTAAATATTTTGTTTAATTTTGTACTTTATGTGTATGTCAATAAGGTGTATTCTAGTATTATAAGGAATAGCAAAGTATTATACACCCTTGGCACGAATTATGCGTACAATTGAAACTATACTCACAATAATCATTAATATAAAGAGGATAGACTTGTATGTTTGTAAAGAATATTTAAAAAAAACTTAATAAAGTAATCTCTGAATATATGTATTTAGATTTATAACCAACTTTAAAAAAAAGTCTAGCTTGGCGCGGCTGGTTTAAGTAACCGAGTTTGGACGTTTAACTAACCGTTATCTTATTTCGATGGGTGTCCAGAATAAATGACATCAACGGGTAATTTTTAAAAACATTCACTGAGGTTTAGATTATAGGTATACTAATAATAATCAGATAGCAATTGTGTCTAATAATATAAGAGAATGTCTGCCTATAAGTACTTATGAACATAATCAATTTGTGGATCGTAGCTGAATGCCAAACTATTACTATGGGCTAATATTCTCTTGCGCGTTCTAGTTCTTAACGACTGTTGCCTATCTCTCTGTGCCATAAGCCGCTGCGAGCGTTCCGCGCTAGATTTACGTACACGCGTTTGCGAGATTCTAACTCTATTCTCTGCGAGGCGCTGCGAATGTTAAAATAAAATATGTTTATTATGGAACATAAGACACAGGTATAACTTAGTCTACGTCATTAAATTATTAATACCTACTTAAAATAGCAAATCCTCAAATAACACTTATTTTAAAACAAATATCGCAAATTAATTAGAAGTAGCCTGTCTAGCACTAGTCCCCAGGCCCTTTTATCAACTAGATAATCGTTAACTTTATAGTAAGCCTTTTTACACAGCTTTTATTTAATACATTTCTTAAATTTATTAAAAGGCAGAGATAAAAGAGCCTCTGGGATTTCATTAAAGAAGAATTACTAACTTTAGATAGTCTGGTACGGGGAAATTGCACCCTGCGTTTGTTTCGAGTATTAACATTGTGCTTAACATTGTGTGGCGCTAGATTCCTTTGCGCGTGCTTTGAGATTCTGGTCCGGTTATCAGCGAGGCGCTGCGAATGTACGGCGCTAGATTCCCGTACACGCATTGCGAGTTTCTAACTCTATTCTCTGCGAGGCGTTGCGAATGTACGGCGCTTGATTCACTTGCGCGTGCTCGTGAGTTTCTGGCCCGGTTTTCAGCAAAGCGCTGCGAATGTACGGCGCTAGACTCCCTTGCGCGTGCGTGGTTTTGAGTTTCTGGCCCGATTTTCAACAAGGCGCTGCGAACGTTCGGCTTTAGATCTCTGGCTGTACTCTCTCTGACATGCGAGACGATCTGATTTTTTAGAAGAAGATTCTCCGATACGACGTATTTTTGCTTATCTCGCTTGGGAACTATATTGAGATAGCTGCGACATTGTTTTTCTAGGCATATTGTTAGTTTCTTTTTCTAGCTTTTAAACGGAAGGTGTAAATAGTTCTAAAAGGAATTTTTTAATTGGGAGGTTGAAATAGTTTTGAAAAACCTTTTTAATGGGAAGGTTGAAACATGTAGTTCTGAAAAGAATTAAAAACGTGCTAAAACAAAAAATATTTCTTCAAAATTACTCGACGTTGGATAATTCCGCTGCGTAGTGAGCCGACCGCACTCCTACACTCCGTCCCCGGCGCTTCGGCGCTTCGCAGCGGCGCGGTGGCGTAGCGGCGAATTAATTTTATTGAACTCGTAATATCTTTTGAATGGAATGTTTGATTTTAATAAAGTAAAAAGTAATTTATTTAGGTAAGGATTAAGGCAAAGGTATAAATAACTTGGTCTGGTTTTGGCCTGAATTTCTATTAAATGATAAAAATTTAAAATGTTAGAAAGCAGTTATAGTGACAAACTACAAAAGGAAGGCATGCTATCGAGACATTTTTTATAGATATTGATATGTTATTCAATATTGTGGAAAATTTTTTTGTTCTATCATCAATAGTTTTCGCAGCGCATGCGATGAAAGATATTTAATAGGCATTTTTTTACACCTTGGGTAATATTATTGTAGTTTTAGTAGGGATCCTTTTTTTCTTGCCATTAAAATATAACCTATATTAATCAGTGATAATGTACTAATCAAATGGTGAAATAATTTTTAAAGTCGGTACTGTACTTTATAAGCCAATTCGTTACAAACCTACTTACATACAAATCATTCCAGATTCTAAGGTCATGCTTAGGGAGTCTAGCTGTGCTTTAGCGGATATTTCTATAGTTTACTTACTCCAACGTTAGAAACATCGCGAGGAAACCTTATTTTATCTTACTATGGTCGCCTGTTAGAGCTTAGACTCATTGCCACATTGTACATAACGAAACGTGTTTTTTTAAATAAATCGTTTATTTGCAAACAAAAGTGATACATTCAGATTAATTAATTATATAAAAACCGCGCAATCAGCCATATAAAAATAGGCATGCAAATGTCATATTAATTATAATACATAATGTCATAATATTAAGAACAGTTAAGTTATTGTTGTCAAGTTTATAGGCATCTTGGCTTGAAAATTTAAATATCATATATTTTATAATTATTGATATCGTTAGTTAGAGTTAGTACATATTCATTGATTCAAATTGATTTAAGAATCTTCTCGTAATTGACGACTCATATGTATAGACATATATTAATTAAGATTCATTAACCCTAAGATAAGCTTTTACCTTTTTATTATTATATTTTTCTACAAGTCTTACATTTTGTTTATTAATAATAAACTTCTTGTACTTTACCCTCAGTAGGTATTTCTTTTTTTTTTAATTTTTCCATACCAGGAATGCGGGGAAGAGTTCGGTTGTTAGCGATACGGTTTCCTATAATAATAACTTATGTAACCGGATTATATGTTTAATGTAACGAAGAGTAAATAAATACATAATTAAGAATTTGGATAACACTTACATATTTATTTTATATTCAAATTGCGTAGAAAATGCGTAGCGTTAGCTAACGTAAATATTGGCGTCATCTGTTATTATTATAAAAACCTATTAAGTTCATTGGTTTCAGCAGTAGAATCGCTGTTGAGTATATGCCATTTTTTGTTTGATATCCGAGGTGGAAATGCATTTACGCATTTATGTGGGAATCTACACACACCAGAAACTTTTCGGGGACTGAATCAACGTGACTCTTTAAAACCAGTTAAGCCTAACAAAAGATAAATAAATGAAGAAAGAAAGAAAAAACTTTATTATACCTAGTAAAATAGATATTTAGGTAAAGAGTCTTTTCTTTTAGACATGTTAACAGTACTTCACAGTTAAATTTGTACATAACACTTATATTTCATAGGTAATTAAACTATTGTTGCACAGTAAGAATATTTTCTGTTTTAGCCTGGAAAGGTTGAGAACAAAACTTTGGTTTGATAACTTTTCTTATACTACAGACATTACATTTACGTAAAGGAAATCGTCGTGGGATCAATGTTGACCCTGTTACGTCATTATAGTTCGTAGACAATTTTTGTGTGTGAATAACGATAAAATAATTCATTTGTGAATAAATGAAAATAAAATTATATTAGTTGATATTACTCCCTAGTCCTCATTCCGCTCAGGCTGATTCCAACTGAATTTGAGTATGTTAATCTAAAAATTCACCGGGGTCCCATTATATTTCGCAATGTGTTTCAACCAACCAGTTAACCGCTAATATTGATAGTTATCTTTATAAGGGAAATTACGTAAGCAGACGGCAGGTGATTCATTATGTTCTTGTTTGTTATCTACTGAAAACTGGTGACTGTTTGATTATAATAATAATAATTTAAAGTGTATAACTTAGTACAATATTTATTTATTTACACCTCGTTGTTGTTATAAAAAATACGATACAGTTAAAATAATTAAATAAAAAGGAGGGCAACTGGCGGTCTTATCGTTTTTGTGCGATCTCTCCGATGCAACCACTGTGAGAAAAAAAAAACTAAATAGATACGGTGAAAGCAAGATGAGCAAAACTCCATAGGACATACAATTACTAAGACAAAACTAATGGAACAAAGCATTATGCTTTATTAAGCGCATGGTCGGATACCTAATAGGCATTGTTAAGTGAATAAGTATTTTTTTTTAATAATGAATAAATCAGTGGCGCTACAACCTCTTTAGGTCTTGGCCTCAGATTTCTGAATCTGGTTCATGATCATTTTTGAATCTAATAGGCAAGTAGGTGATCAGCCTCCAGTGCCTAACACACGCCGTTGACTTTTTGGGTCTAAGACATGTCGGTTTCCTCACGATGTTTTCCTTCACCGTTCGAGCAAATGATAATGCGCACATAGAAAGCAAGTCCATTGGTGCACAGCTGGGGATCGAACCTACGACCTCAGGGATGAGGTCGTATGTTCATATATAAAGGTAAATAGTTAATTGTAAAAACCACTTGTCAATATATATGTATATCGATTGTAGTAGTCATATATATATACTACCTTTTCTACAGTATAAGTACTAGTAGTAGTGTAGTCTTCTGCAGGCTGTGTCTGGTTTTATATACATAATAAACATACATACATACAAATTATAATAAGGCAGCCTTCTTATGTTTATCATAAAGTCAAGGTTATAATGAATTCGAAAACTGTTAAATAAAATCATGACTAAATATATATTTAGTTGTTTGTTACTAAGGAAAATGAGGCGAAGTAGTCGAGGAAAGCTAAAACCTGTGTAATGAGCTGTTTAATATAGTCTTTGGTTTACGTGGGAACTACGGAAATACAACTTCAATGTATATAAGCGTGATTTTTTACATTATTTAACATAACGACGTTCTAACGAGATGGTTGGCATTTAAGTTAACATGGGAAACGTTCGCTCTGTATATCGATAATACTCTATGTAATGTTGCTTTTATATTGTGCAATAAAGTGAAATAATACAGTAAAAGCTTATAAATAGTAACAAATATAAATGTAATTATTTTTTTTGTAATCTTTTTTAAAATTAAATTACGATTAGTAATAATTTGAAGTAGGTCAGTCAGTCTACAGTCAGTTTGAATATCAAGTAATAAAACATTATTCGTCGTTCATTTACGCAGTATTCCACAATATTTGTCATTCATTTACGCAGTATTTCAAATTTAAATAAAACATGAGCAGTGGGGATAAAAGCGGATGTAATGACAAAGATACTAAAGGGTATGCTTAGGTTGTTTCGTGTAGAAATTATGAATGGGGAGAGGCTAACAAGTACGATATACAAGGCAACCGTGGATGGTGAAGTCAAGTTTGGTAGGATTTGTCGTATCTGGACCAAATCCTAGAGATACCACATCATGGTGAATGTCATAGATGAAGCCCGTTCGGAATAAGGCGTGAATAAATAAATAAAATAAGATTAACGGACATAAACGTGAGTTTATCATTTACATAATGAGACATTTCGAGTGTTTTTCGTAAGCCACATCACGTTGATAGGTACAATTTACTCTTATGATTCAATATATAAATGTATTTGTAGAGCAGTGTTAGCCATGTTGTTTCTACGTGCAACTCTCATCCCTGGGTTCGTAGGTTCGATGTCCGGCGGTGCACAAATGGACCTTCTGTCTTCGTGCGCATTTTACACTGGCTCGTACGGTGAAAGGAAACGTCGTGAGGAATACCTTAACCCAAAATGGTAGACGGTGCGTATCAGGCACAGATGTGATCACCTACTTGTCTATTAGAAATTATTACGGGACATATACAGAAAATCAAATTCTGAGGCCGAGACCTAAAAGGTTTGTATATGATTCTATAAGCCTGCTAATAAAGTAAAATATAAATTCGGAATGTGTCAGGCACAGGAGTTTGATCAACTACCTGGAAATTATCCCGGTAAAAAAACGGCGCTACTACCCGGGGATTTCTGTATCGGATTTCGGTCGTACTACGTTTTCTTTTGAAACAAGTTGTAACAGTTGAAGATAAAGAGCAGCCTGTTAAACAAAATACTTGGTGAATAAATTATGCGGGCATTTTTTTGAATTGAGAAGTTTAAAAGACGTTTGTTCTTTAACTTTACAATAAAAAATTACAAAGCCTCTAATGCTGTTTAGCTTACATTTATTTATCTTTTTTTTAATCTTCTTTATTTATTTACACTTCATTACCTTCCTTTATTTATATTTTACTTTATTACAAAAACATACATATAAAAAAACAGGTTACTTAAGTTATTAAGGCAACGGCTTCTTGTAAGGTTGTTTTACAAAAAAAAGAGTTTTATTAATGTACATAACTTCACGCATAAATTATATTTATTGATCTATAGATGGAAAGTATAATAGGTGTATAGCCTTCAAATTATTACGAAAGCCTTATTTTGAAGTCGCTTTAACTAGCTACACTAGACACGATATAGTAAGACGACACTCAAGGCGAGATTTATTAAAGACACACTTTTATGGCTGCACAGTGATATTTTTAATGCGAAATAAAAAACGCAAAGTCAAATTTAGAAGCTGCAAAGCTGCATATATAAGTTTTTGTAAGGTTATTATTCAAAAGGCCCCGGCCTTCGTGTTTATTTTTTCGTGAGATTCTGGAACACTAAGTATGATTCATGTACGTCAAAATGTATTGGATTTTGATTGTTAGTGTTTAGTATAGAATTGTACTTATTTCCCAAACTATCTTTATTCGCGCTATAATCTCAAAAAGTTTTGAATAATATATTAGTTGAAAATGGTTAAATAATAGTCGCATTATGCGCGCTAAGATTTCCGATATTAACTGTGCCAAGATTAAGCGCCTTAAAACAGTAGCAAATATTATTTAGATGCGTGCGTTATTTATCTATTATTATTTTTAATATGAGCATAAGTTGTAAAAAATTAAGTTAGTTTTTTTTAGAGGTCTAGTATCATATGCCCCATTTAGGGTCACAAGCCTCCTCCATATTTTTCCACATCTTTTTTCTTTCTCTGATTTTTTTCAATACATTGTTCAGATCTAATAGTCTTGTTTTGGATGATAGAGATCTCACTATGAAAGTGCATAATTTTAATTGTTGTAACGTGGAGCGGCTTTTTTTATTATACTGTTCTTCGTCCTTCATATATAAGGGTGGTGGTAGCTCTCCCCTTATGTATTAGTGACTTATAAATCCATATATGACGTCTATATTGCTCTTACAAAGAACAGAATATTAATAGCTAGCTACTAACCATTTTGTTTTTATTGTTTGAATTATTAAAATATCTTTAGAATCGCAAGTAGGGAAGGTATTGATGAGGCATGTAA